AGGATCTACTCTTTTCTATAATTCTGTAATTGCTGCGATATATTCTTCAATTGTTTTTCCTTGTTTTTGTTTCCTATTTCGCAGTTGATGTTTCTACTGACTAATCCTAAAAGGATTACAGAAATGATCCTTAAATAAATGTGTAAATGATCGTTGAGGGTTATTATCATTCTCCCAAAAAGTAATATTTTGGCGATTGTACTAAGTTAATGCTGTCCCTTTTAGATATGATGCTACTAAAACAATCGCTCGTTTTTCACTGACTCTATTAGCTACACAAGCTCTACTAAAAGCTTCAATCCATTCGACAGGATCCTGATTTCCTCCTTTAAAAACTGGAAAATCAACCAGTCTGGATTCTCTAGGTTCGACTCCTTTTGCATAAAATTTTTGGGCTTGTTGAAAAAACTGTAACATGATCTTATTTTGTTCAGCTTCACTAATAGGAGTTTGTTCTTCTGGTTCTTCATCATCTTGTAAATTATTACTAGAAAAATCAAGAAGGTCATTCTGTTGAGAAGTTTTCAAGGTTGATGTTTTAATACTAGGAGAACTGAATGAACCCTGAAACGGTTTTACAGTTACAAATGATTTAGGATTTGATGATAATCCAGTACCAGAATATGGTTTATAAGTTGAAAATGGTTCTGTACTCCATTTATTTGAACTACTGCTGGTTTTAGCCTTTTGCTTCTCTTTCACTTCTTTTTTTGGATCATAAATGTGGTCATTTGAGGTATCGTTTATACCTATTTGACTGAAACTACTATCTTCACCATTTTTGAGTACTGTATCATGTGATACTATACTTTCTGCTTCTTTGTTTTCACCTTCTTCATTTCGTTGGTCTTGCCATGCTTTGTCTTGTATACTTGTTGTAGGCTCAGTTCCTCCAAATTGTTGTTCATTACCTAAACTTTCATCATTTTTATCTGTCTTATTTTGATTCACTTTCCCTGATATCTTACTTGTATTACTGGCTGTATCTGATGATTGTTCTGAATAATATGCTTCCCAATTATTAAAGCAATCTGTGACTTCCCAATAGAATTGTATCGTTTCTACTAATGTATCAAATGCTGGTATTACTATATACCTAATAGTTTGTACTAACTCCTGAATTAATTTGTAAACTTCTTGGCTATCTCGTTGTCGCTGTAATTTTCTAAAGATTCGTATAGTATTTTGTGTAAAAACACTATCTAGATACCTGGGTGAAATAACGAATTGCCAAAATTCTCTAAATCTGGGATTCTCTAATAATCCTAAATTCTGATCTTCTGGATAGCAATTTGCACACGATAAATCTTCAATTAAATCTTGTTTTCCTTAGTTATGATCTTCTATATGCTGAAAAATCTGTTGTAAATACTGAAATTCCTTATTCATTCACAATTACTATTTTTCTTTAGTTTCCACCCAACTCACATTAAATTGTTATCCTGTCAACGATTAAAGCTGACTGAAAAACTTTAATGCTTTAACAGGTTAACTGGAGTTTAACTTAATAGGAGAGTCTTAAGTTGATCACAAATAATCACGTGAAATAACGTTGGATGTTCAGTTAAAGAAAATAGGTTTTTATTAAAATAATGTAAGATTTTATATACGACTAAAAATATATATAATCTCTTGGTTGCGAAATTAACTATCTTGAATTATACTACTGGGAATAATACTCTTTTCGTATAACTCGAAAACTACAATACAATTCTTCACTAACTAACTGACCTCCTCTTATTTGGTAAAATCCTATCACTATTTATAATAAAATAAAAATCAAGAATATTTGATAAAATAAATAAATCAAATATAATAAATAAATAAAATAAATAAAATAAAATAAATAAATAAGATAAAATAAATAAATAAGATAAAATAAATATATTGAATAAATAAAATATAACAAATAAAATAAATAAAATTAATAAAATAAATAAATCAAATATATCAAATTTATCAGATTTATCAGATTTATCAAATAAATCAAGAAAATCAAAAAAATCAAAAAAATCAAGGGATCTACGAAATGATCTACAAAATTGATCTACATAAAATTACTGCGCCACATTTCTATTTTAACAATATTTATATTTTTTTTTATTATAAATATATATTATATAAGTTGATTTATTAAATTTTTATTAAACTTTACTTCACTTAAATTTCTATTTGAATAAAAAATTGATTAAAACAGAAAAATAAGATAAAAGGCTGAAATTTTATACATATAATATTAATAATACATTTGGCAACAAATTTTTAAAATTTGAGGCAGTTTTAATTATTAACTTTTATTTACAATTCTGATTACTTTTTTCTATTACTTATACACAAGCCTACAATAAATTACCAGATTTCTTTAAAAATGCTTGGTAATTTTCAATTGCATAAAAATACATAAGTTTTTGATGAAATCACTCAATTTTTTTTTTATTTGAAAGATAATCCTTCGTAGATTTTATACAGTCAACTCTCTTTATAGTCATACATTTGGGACAGTCCATATTTGGTGATTATAAAGAGATGTGACTATAAAAAAAATTTCTTATATTTGTATATCATAATTCCGGCCAAAAATTAACATAATTTTTGTCATAATTATACTTAAAACTTTATTGTTTCTTAACTTTGTCAATATTAATCGTAGAGAGATGATCTTACCGCCATTCGATTCGTCTTGATGAGACGGTTCTTATGGTATAAAATACGTCGAAATCTAATCACTAGATTAATTTCTGAAATTAAAAAAATATTAATGGTTTTTGTGTAATAACTCTGTCAATATTGATCACAGAGAGATGAGCTTACCACCATTCGATTCGTCTCGATGAGGCGATTCCAACGAGCTATAAATCGTCTTTTTACAATCACTAGGTACCGAGAAATCTAGCAAAATGTTAAATGGCGCAGTAAACGTAAATCAAGAAATATTATAATGCCGATGTTTAACATTTTGTTGAATAACTCGTCAGCCAGTGATCCGAAAAGGATAAAACTACCACCATTCTATTCGTCTCAGTGAGACGATTCTAACAAGCTATGATACATCTTTGTACGATTATTAGATGCCAAGTTATTTAATATATTCTTTATATAACTGTGATTATAAACGGTTCTTTTTA